GTGTGTGTGTGTGTGTGTGTGTGTGTGTGTGTGTGTGTGTGTGTGTGTGTTTTAGATAGGGTGTACTAACCCAGGCTAGAAAATGGCTGGCTATACCTCTGAAAATATGAGGGCCTTATCATCCTCTGCAGTGCAAATTACCCTCAGCCTAGGAATGCTGGCCCCAATCTTATTCTTGTCAATTCTACCCATTCTATTTCTCTTGGTCCTTAAAGAACTCAAAGACAAGGTAACCAAAGGAAGGTGTCTACCCAGTTTCTTATCCAAAAAAAAAAATACAAGGGGACAGGAAGTGCTGACCTCATACTTGGGAGCCTCCGTCCATGAGTCTAACTGGAAAGAGAAAGACAGTCCTCTGAAGTTGAGGTGGAAGAGCTGCTCAGCAGAGTTATACACTGTGGAGGAAGAAATGACAGTTAACTGGTATCTGCTTTCCAATGTAAACCAGCTTGGCAGGAAGTAATGACTCCAGCAGGGGAATTCCTCATGTCTAGTTTCTGAACCAACCCACTAGAATGAAAACCTGAGGAGATAGCACCACCCACAGATTTACTGCTATGAACTGCCTCTACTAACTAGAGGAATCAGATAATTTTGGCTTACCTCCAGGATGGGTTGCGCCAAAAGACTGGTCAATTTGCTCAATGGTAGGAGCGATGGCCTGAGAGTTAAAATGCACTCCACTGAAAAATACAAGTATTTTTTAATACCAGGTTTAACAAGATGGACTTAGATAATAAGAAATGGTGGCTGAAAGTTATTAAGTGATAGATTAAGAATCTTGCTATGTACCCTGGCTGGCCTTAAGAACACTGCAATCCTCCCGTCTTGGCCTCCACAGGGATTACCAGTATGTGTTACTGTATTCAGCATAAGAACTATTCTTAAAAAACATTATGTAAAAATGAAAGGCTAGGCATGGTGGTCCACACTTTTAATTAGCACTCAGAAGCAGATTTCAGTGAGCTCAAGGCCAGCCAGATCTACAGCAAGGTTCTAGGCTAGCCAAAGCCATTAGTGAGACCTTGTCTTAAAGTGAGTAAATAAATTTAAAAGTAAATAAACTGTAAGTAAGAATTAACTAGGTGCAAAATAGGTCAGTTCTTGGAAGCACATATTAAGAGCCGACTCTCCGGGGCTTCCCAATACATTACTGGCTCTAAATAAAAAGGACAGAGAAGACAAGACAGACCTTGAGGTAAGATGGTTCTAGCGAGTAACACTAAAAGGACAAATGGATCTAGTGTCATTACATATTTGTCTGTTCACTGCTCTACCAGCGAATGCTGTCAGAACTGTCCCAGGAATTGGGTCCTTGTCATGCTTTCAATAAGGGGAAGCCTAAAATGGCTTACTAGAAGGCAGTCTTTTGTTGTTGTTGTGGTATTGGGGAAAGAACCCAAGGCCCCATGTATGCTGGGCAAGTTCACCACCACTGGCTGAATGTATTCCCAGCCCTGAAAGTTCATTCTAAATGTGAGCATACATAGCACTTTGCCAACCGGCTCAAGTATCTAAGGCTTGTACAGGTCACCCTGTTCTCATTCTGAAGTGCAGCTTCTGCTCTAAATAGGGGTCTCTTTAGCACTGGCTTTGGAGTCAGAACTAACTGGCTTGTTAATCCATTTCTGTTAATCAGAAAAACCCGAGAGAGGTGACAAAGAAGGGCTATGCAGGAACGGGCCATTATGACTCAAGAGACTGTCATAGCATTCCTAAGCTGAAGTCAGACTTTGTTGGGAGAGTTGAATTAGTTTATATACACTGTTAGCATGTTAAACACCCAGCATGTTCTTAATGAGGCTTACTTCCTTATGAATCTGAGAAGACTAGGAGTTTGCCTCAGGGAAGGAACTATGTATCAAGACTGTAATTCCTGGATTGCTGGAAATGAAATCCTTTAGTACTTTAATGAAGACAGTAGATGAAGCCAATCTGTACCAAACAAAACACATACCAGTAAGGGAGAAAACTTACCAATATTTTAACTTTACTTTTGTCAAGTCATAAACTTCAATCACCTAAAAGATAAAATAGATTGTTTAGGTGTTCTAAATGTTCAAGTTTTTACAAAGACAGATGTACTTAAGAGGTTGTGGAAGAAGGGTTGAAAGTCCAAGGTAAGCTTGAGCTGTGGGAAATCCTGTCTCAAAACATACTGCCCAAAAGCATACTCCTCGGGGGCACAGCTTAGCAGTAACGTATGGTCTGAGCTTCACCATCAGTGCCCTACGCCACAAAAGACTCTCCCGAAGCACTGCATCTTCTGTGCTCATTTTATATCTGGGGAGGACAAAAGCCACACGTGGCATCACACACCTATAATCTTATCTGGTCAGGAGGCTGAGGGTGGAGGATCACTTGAGTTATGTGTTTGGCTCTAGCCTGATCAAATAGTAAGATTCCATCTCCAAATAAAACAAAGAACAAAACTGGGAAGAAAAACACAAATCATAACCTTCCTCCATAAATTTCTTTCTTTTAAAGAAAGGGTCTCATTATGTAGCCCTGGCTGTCCTCCAACTTGCAGGAGTGATTCTCCTGTCTTTTGCCTTCCAAGTGCTGGGATTACAAGGACACAGTCATAACTTTCCCCCTTACAATAGTGTTCAAGTGCTGACTGTAGATGCTTTAGATCAAAGTCCTTCAATCTAACCCACTGCTGGACCACATATCGCTCTACAAGACAATGCTACATTCCAGGAAACATATTCACCTAGTTTGTTGATATTGTGTGTTCAATACTTCCTCACCATACTTTTATTCTTTTCCACCAGGAACTCACTATGTAGCCAATGACCTGGGACTCAGAATGTAGACCAGGCTGGCCTTCAATTCAGAGATCTTACTGCCTCTCAAGTACCAGGAACAAAGGCCCCATGCCATACTTGAGACATCATAAAAAAACATAAACAAACCAACAAACAAAAAAACCAAAATAAAACCTCCATAAGCCAAACCAACTCTCCAAATTACCTTATTTTATTTGCAATATAAAATGATACAGGAAGAGATCCCTCTTGCTTGGAAATAGGCCCTACATTAGTACAGGATAAGTTTGAGAGTATCAGGTTATGTCCCTAATAAAGGGGATCTGGTTGAACCTGAAGATCCTGAAGGCTCTTGTGAAATTGTCCCTTTAATAGGTTTAGCCTCAGATGAAATGCCAGGAGTCAGAGCACAGACAAATGAAAAGGCACTGAACACTTAGGCATCACTGGTACCAAGTAAATAAATACTACAAAGTCACTGACACTGTGATGTCATGGCTTGGCAGCAAACAACATGGGTTGGCTGGGGGCTGGAGGTAATTATCCTGCAGTGGGGGATGGAACAAGCAGAGCTGGCTCAATGCCTGTTTGTCCTGCCACTCTGAGCTCATATGTAGAAAAGAATATGGGTGCATTGGCACTGATACAGAAACTGGGATAAGCACTCAAAAGTACTTAGCTTCTGATAAGAGAACTATGCCTAACTTTTCTTTCTTCTTCTTTTTTTTTTTTTTTTTTGAGATACGTTTTTACATAGCTCAAGCTGGCCCTTCAAGTCCCTAGTAGTCAAGGATGATTCTGAACTGCTTGCTCCTCTGGCCCTCTCTCTCCAGTGCTGGAATTACAGGTGTGTGCTAGTACTGCTGGTTCTTATGGTAGCAGGGGCTAGGCCAAGAGAAGGTACTCTACCAAGTGAGTTAGATTTCCAGCCCTGTCCCTAACTTTTTTTTAGAGTACATTAACACTGGGACTGGTTAAAGGTCAGTCATTTAACCAAAGGGTAAATAAAGACACTTGCACCAAGCCTGAGGACCTGAATTTGACCTCCAGGACCAAGATATGGAGAATGGATCTCTACATGTATGCTGTGGCACATACATGTACACACGCACACACACTTTTTGAATAAGAAAACATGACATTGAATCAAGTTAGAAACCTCTTTATTAACTATTATGAAGCTATTTTGATCCTTCCTGCTGGAAAGAAGTGCTTTGTCTGCTGGGCCTTTATGGGACCAGAAGGAATCCTTTTCTCCAAACTTGCATGAGCTACTCACTGGTCCTATTAAGCTACTTAGTGGATGACTTATTTTGTACAGGGAAGATATTCAATGCATATTGGATAAGTCTACCTTCTATGAAGCTGTTTTAGGGCAATATTAAGCTTCTAAGTGTGGAAGTTTGTGCAAAGAGAGGTCATGCAAAGGAAGACAGGAACAGCAGTGATTCAGAAGGTAGCTAGGGTCCCCTTCTTAATGCCCGGGCATGGCAGTACACCATGCCAAATTGGCTGCCATTTCACTGGGGTCAGGACCTTATGCTGACAGAGATTGTCTACTCTCAGCCAGAAGCCTTGCTTGTAAAAGATGCAGGCATTCTCTCTCTGACAGCTACAACTATGGCTGGCCAACGACCTCCCAGAAGGATCTCCTCCAAGGGAATCCTTTCCATGTCCTATTTTCTCTTCTCAGTAGCTCACATGTGATTGGATGACAGGAGCTGGGAAGCATGTCATCTTTTGGAAGGGCTCCTTTATAACCTAAGCAGGAAAACAGCACTGGTGTGCCATTTAACCTCATGACTCTGAGGCATGAGTCTGGTGTCACATGATTAACCTGTGTAGTCCAGGCATCTGAAAACAGTATATTAAAAACATCCTGGACTGAGCAGGTGCTAGCAAACTGCACATCCATGCTAATACCAATTAAGATACCCTACACATCAGCAAGTTGTTTATATTTCCACAATGGGGCTAAAAAAAATCAACTCACTCCTGATATTATTAACACCAAACACTAAATCCCAGAAGAAATTTTCATTTTTCAATCTTCAGGCCACACTGTCTGACTTAAAGATGAAGAAAAGCACACACAAACCCAACTAAAATCCTATAGTTAGGCTTCATTCTCAGTACCTTTTAAATAAGATTTGGGTTAACATCTCTACAGGATCTTTATCAACACTTACTCCTTTTCCCAGCACGCACCCCTAAGTCTATATGACACTCTCTTCTTAGCCCCTCAGCAAAAGACAACACAAGCTCTTTTCAGCCACACTAGCTCAGTCCCACTTTTCAACCCCCCTTTAGAGGGATATGCAGAGCTTTAGTTTTCTACACTGTGGTTTTTGAACAAAGATGTCTACATCCACTTACAAGTTTCCAAAACACCTCACAATAGCACATATTAATTAATTCCAGACAAACTGGACCAGCCAGATATGAAACTATAGTTGTCATTTATGGTTACCTTAAGTCTCTGATTGAAAGCATCAAACAGTAGTTTGATCCCGTCCTGAGTCAGGTTAAGGATGAGGTCATGGCTTAGAGGAGACTACAAAACAAAAATAAAACACACTTTGAACAACTGATTTATTCACAAGCATCTACTAAAAAGCCTTATAACAAAAATGCAACATATAGGGAATATGTAAGATAGTCCCCTTCTCCCAACGAATGAAGTTTGGAAGCTTAAAAACAAATACAACTAGTACATGAAAGCAGCTTTTCTTACTTCTGCCTGCAACTCCTGCTTTATAACGTTTGCTCAAAATAACCTTCCCCTTTCAACTTTAGTACAAATACATGGGAGCAATGAGCAAAATTAAGTGAGCGAACAGGTCATTTTCTCGGGCCTCAGGGTGGTATCTATCTTAATAGTTTACTGCCATTACACTAAGAAGTCTATTGGTAGCACATGTCATGTGGAAAGCCCAGGATCCAAACTTAGCAAGGTACTGGTGATGCATGTCAGCTGAACCCAGGTCTGCAGGCAGGCTCTCGGCACTATCCTTCTCACATGATTCATTTGAATATTTTGGGCCAAATTCTTGGAATAAAAAAATACCTTGTGATCTTGTTATACAAAAGACAGAATTCTCCTTTGGTCTTTCCCCATCCCATACTATAATGCTTCTTTCTAAAAGTCCAAGCCTAAGTAAGATCTAAGGAGCCCCAGTCTACATCTGTCCCTTCCTTTGCAGTCCTGTGGAGAGGATGGATGTGAACAGAGCTGGATGACCTTAGTTCTCCTAGAAGTTTTATGATTCTGGTTCCTACCTAGGAGTAGGTCACCTCCTTCTTCCAAGGTTGTGTTCTGAGGACAAAGATGGTAGGTCAGAATGAATCAAGAGATGTCTGTCTCATCTTCCTGCTTCTAGCCCAGTATCAATTCAAAGACAATGTTTTAAAGACCATCACAGAATTGACTCAGATTGCTACATGTTGAAGGGGGAAAAAAAAAAAAAAAGACCAAACACCACTACCTCAAACTCCACCCTTTTAGAAAGGGGCACAAAACTGTTCAAAGGTTTAAAAGCTTTAACTAAAGTAAATAGACTGAATAACAGAGGTGTGGTTTTATGAGACAAAGACATAAATTAGAAAGCCAGATGTCACCCTGGAAGGCCTCTTAGGGAAATTCCCTCCCTAGAGCCTTCTGGAATTAATTCAAACTGTTTGCTCTCCTCCCTCACTGACACTAACAAGGTAGCAGAGCCAGGTGGCACCATCAATGCTTGCTTTGCCCTCTAAAAAAGATGGCGTCTATGTGATACACATGCCCCAAGGCGTGACCTGCACAGATAACACATTTTTCTTTGGTGGGAGTGCATCTTAGTGCACCTGGAGTACTTGCTTAGTGTATTTGAGGTCCCAGGTTTTACTCTAAAAGAGGAGAAAGAGGTCAGGAAAAAAAATTCTGGAACTTTTAATAGGAGCAAACTGTTTTCTGAACTTGGAAGCAAAGAGAAGATATGTAGAGCAAAAGAAGGTAAGAGAACAGACTCACATTTAGGAAGCACCGCAAAGGCAGGGTAGTGGCACTGCACGATCTCAGCACTTGGGAAGCTGGCACTTAGTGTTACAAGTTGGAGGCCAGTCTGGACTACAGAGTAAGATTGTCTAAAAACAGTACTATACCACCATCTTTAGATGCTTATCAAACACTGCTCAAAGCCCAGCATGTGGTATACAACTTAGGACCCAGCACCTGGAAGGCAGAGGCAGGGAGACAGCTACCTGAGCTTTAGGACAGCTTGGTCTATAAGGTGCGTTACAGGCCAGCCAGGGCTATACAGTGAAACCCTGTCTCAAAGATTATTATAATAATATATGAATTTAACAGACTAGTTATTAGGTTTTCACAAGATATACAACTAAAAAATTAAGAAGTATGTAGACCTAGACTAAAAAAAAAATCCATGTTTTTGGTTGGGCATAGTATCATCTGTTTATAATCCCAGCATTTGGGAGGTGTAAGATAGGAGGCTCAGTTGTTGAAGCACAGTCCTGGCTACACGAAACCTGGTCTTAAAATTCCAAAGCCAACTGTGTCTGTAAAATAATTACAGATACGTGAAAATATTGGTAGAATTAAGAGAACTTGCTGCTGAAGTTCAGATCCCAACCCCCACACAGCTGAAAATCATCTGTAACTCCAGTTTCAGGAGATCCATACCCTTTTCTGGACTCCACAGGCACCGGGCACTGCACACACATAGCACACAAATGTACACACAGGCAAAACACTCATACAATTAAAAAACTTTTTTAAAAAGACAAGATACTGGAGAAAACGAACTTAGTGTTAGCATTCCTGTAAACACTGGAATGATAAATGATATGAGAATCAAGTATTTGCACAAAATGGTAAGAAAGGATAAAGCCTGTTTTCAAAGCCATCCGATCTTCAGAGACGGATTAGGTTAGGGATGACTGAGAACAAAGAGTTTGAAAAGCCACCACCATCCATCCTTTAGAAATGAGAACTCACTCTGTCACCATGATTCCAGGAGCCCCTCTACATTTTGCCAAGTTCTATATTTTCTGGCAGGTACCGCAAGAATGTCTAAGCACTTGCTTGGAGACTAAGCATCCTCAGACCCTTCAGACTAGCCAAGGGTTATGCACTTCAGAATGTAATCTCTGGTAGAGCTAACAGGCCTAATTCAGCTGCTGCTCTAAGCTAAACAGGGAAGCTTAACAGAAATCTTAACCATTTATAATCTAATCTGCTTTGTGAGAGTTGAAACTCATTAGTACTCAAAGACTCTCAGCAAAGCCACAGGGACAGCCTTTGGCCTCTGTAGGCTCTAAACTGTTCTCAAAGCTTTACAACACAAAGGCTATCTTACAAAAGCTGCACATGTTCTATTGTCACAGAACTGCAGGCTTCAGAGCTCAGTGGAGAGGAACAGAGCTAGCCCAGCTTCCTTTCAACTCATATGCCCTGCTGGCTAGAGAGCTTTCCGGCAACAATTCTGAACATAAGACAACCCATAAAGCAGAAAAGACACTTAAGCACAAAAGAAGGCAACAAGCACTTTAGAAAACCAGAGATAGCTTCTGAGGTGACTTTCCATGAAAAGGCCCCATTTTAAGGGTCAGTAGTTAAGCACAGATATAAGCAAACAAAACAAAACAAACAAACAAAAAATAAGTTTAGTTTTTACTGCTCTATCTAAACCTGGCAGCACTAGATTATCAGGACCAACGTTGCCAAACTGAGAAGACTACCTGAAAACTGATATAAGACTCATCTCTGGTTGGAACACAGCAACTCCTCCCAGCGAGCCCTCCCAGAGCATCTCTTCAGGAGGTGAACTCACTGACCAGGGACAGCATCTACTCTGGTAAACAAGTCACCACTCACCTGCTCACTGTAGAGAACCTGGACATTTTTGATGATGCGACAGTGCTTCTGAAGAATGGCTACTGCCTGAGCCAGAGGCATTCCTGAAATAAAGGAAGGACACCATGTCGTTACTTGGTCTATCCGTTTACTGACACCTGCACTGTGCTAAGCATTGCTCTCTGAAGCCTGACCACAGGGCAGAGTCCCTGAAGTCAGTTAAGCTATAAAGCAAACACCATGGGACCACTCAAGGTTGTCCAAAGGGAGAAAGTGAACTCACAAAAAGCTTCCTGGAGATAGGACAGCCAAACGGATCCTAAGCAGCAGAAGGGGTCAAAAACAAAGCCAGCACAAACCAAGAGTAGTTTGGAAAAAACAGACTTTATAACTCTGGAGGCCAAACTCCTGCATTGGTTCCCTATGACCCAGCAAAGGTCCCTTCTCTTCTCTGGCATCTATCTCAACATCTCAAATTAGAGTATTATTAGGACATGTGACTTACAAAGAATCATTAACGTTTAAAGCCACAGGGCATGGTGGCATATGCCTGTAAATCTTAGTTCTCACAAGGCAACAGGCAGGAGGATTGTGAATTTGAGGCAACTCAAACACAAAACCAATAAAGTTTAAAGTCACACAATGATCAAAATTAACTTATTTTACAAAGAATTTTATTTGATTAAAAACTTAAAAACCCACAAGTATCTCCTAAACACCTAGTTTCGAAGGCAAGGCCCATTACATGCAGATTTACATTTGTCTCCAGTTTAAGTAATCCAAATCGACACCACTAACATTCTATTCTAGGACTTACAGCATACTGAAAGTTTGTTTTCGGGGTCCAATAACATTAAACAGGAAGAAACAGAGACAAATTCTAGAAAATCTAAAATAACTCAGTCTCATGAATACAAAGACACCATGTACTATTTACTGCTCTCTGATTTCCCAGCTCCCTGCTCAGATCTAAATCATCTATCTATATAGGGATTTAGAATATTTAATCCATGGGGCTAAAGGATTGCAAAGTAAGTGACAAGAAAGGGAAGAAGAGAGACTAAAATATCACCCCAGGGCCACAAGGAAAACCATATGTAGATGGTCTTATGATGGAGGAGTTATGCAGAAAAGAGCTTTCAGATGAAGAACTAGAAGTTGTGGTCCATCTCATTTAAACAATTCTATTTCATTCTCATGGGAGGCACTGCTGTTCAGTTTTAAGAAAGGTAAAGCAAATCAGAAGGCCAAATGCATTTTTCTTTCCTATGTGCCTGTGTGTACATGCACAGATGTGTTCACAGGACAATCTCAGGTTCATCCTGCAGCTGTTCACCTTGTTTTTTTGAGATGGTATCATGGTATCTCTCATTGCCCTAGAGCTCACCAAGTAGGACAGGCTGGCCAGTAAGCTCCAAGGATGTACCTCTCACCACCTTTCCAGTGCTGAGATTTCAAGCTCACACTACCACCCTGTCTTTTACTATTTTTATTTTATTTATTTATTTTTTGGTTTTTCAAGATAGGGTTTCTTTGTGCAGCCCTGGTTGTCCTCAAACTCAACAGATCTGCCTACCTCTGCCTCCCAAGTGCTGGGATTACAGCAGGTGCCACCACCTCCCAGCTTTAAATTTATTTTTAACGTGTGTTCTGGAGATTGAACTTAGAATCTTATGTTTGCTAGACAATTAACTTACTAACTCCTAGTCCTGAATTTTAATCATAAAAACACTTTTCAGCCTTCTATAGCATAGGGCCTAAGGCACAAAGCTGCTGAGAATATGATTTGAATATTATTTAGCTATTCCTGCAGTGAAAGAGCACACATCCGTGAGAAAAAACAACCCAGTCCAACACATATAGGTCTCATACCATGATCTTCCCATAATCTCTCCAATACCATTTCCTGCTGTTCCTCCAGCTTTCTCAGTCTTTATGTATATGTCACAGAGTATATTTGACATGGTATATTTCTTCTGCTATGTCTCATTCAGCCAACTTCCCAGATTCCAACTTAAAACAATCTGGTTTTTTTTGTGTCTAACTAAAAGCAAAATAAAGAACTAACAGATTAAAAGCCTCCCCCCCCCCCATCTTCTCTAGATTCTGGGTCTCTCCTACTACTTCCAATATCCAATAAATGTATCTTAAGTAAAAAACCTCTAAATTTTTCCTTTTCCCTGCCTCTCTGGATCCAGTTTACAAACTGTACTTCCTAATGAAAGCCCACAACAGACTTTACCTTCTGTCCCATGAACCCAGAGCCTCACTGTATCCCTGTCTGGCCTGGAACTCAGATACACTTGAATCCCAGGATTAAAGGTGTGTGTGTTGGGGGAAGGGGAGAGTACCACCATGCCTGGTTGTTATTCTTTTGCCAGTACACCATTGCTCTAATTATAAATCCAGATTGATTTTGTTTTCCTGCATACACCATCTGTTTTTTTCCTCTGGGTTAATACTAATCCTTCTCCGGGCCCCTAGGTTTGGTCAAGACCCTTCTCTCTTCACAATATCCTATATATCTATTATAATAAAATGAACTATTATAATAAATGAACTATTCCTGTACACCTGCTGTATTATTAACTTAAGTTCTTCATGCGATAAGATAATTTCCTATTCAATTTCTAATGTTTATGAGCAGAGAACACTACAAACATTTCCTTAGAGATAGCAGCCATTTTTCTCTGTACAACAAGGCAATGCTGGAGATTGTTTTCTGAAAACTTAAATCTATCTGCCTTTCAGCATTCTAAAGATGAAATTCAAAAGCAAATCTAAGCTAAGACAGTGACTCAGACCTGTAATCCCACTCAGGATACTAAGGCAGGACTTCCTCAGAGTTCTAGACTAGTATGGACAAGATTCTCTTAGAGAACTAAAATCAAATCCAGACACATGCTGCTACACCAATATATTCTGCAAATCTCATTGAAACCACTATTTCAATTTCAATGTCTTTATTCTAAAATGGTTCAAGCATCTGTGGTATTTGCAGATATTCTGCTTAGGTTTTGTCTCTGATTTTGGCATTTCTTTCCTTAATCTCAACACTATAGAAAGGCCAGGAAGGCAGCCAAGAGGCTGGATACGGCTCTCCATTATAATTCAAGGCAATGATATAACCGCATGTGCGCAAATTACAATAAGAAACTTGGGACAGATCAAGAAATCTCTTTCTAGCTAGCTGTGTGTTATCATCTTTACCTAGCCTGAGAAGGTAAGGCTAGCTTGCAAACGTAGAGAACCATAGAGTGTTGTGGTGACAAGGCAAGTACCTCCTGGCTCTCTAACTTTTAAAGGAGATTCATTTTCCATACGTATCCCCACCTAACAGCCCCAACTGCACTTTGGGTGGTTGGGATCAGGAGAGAGGGTTAAACTGATTTACAGTAACCCCTGCCCCGGCCACACATACACATTATGAAGAGTGCCGAGATTAAAGATCAAGTCTTTATCTGGTGCTGTGAGCTGGGTGCTGTGGTGCACAACTGTAATCCCAGCACTCTGGGAGGCAGAGGCAGGTGGATCTTTGTGAGGGCCAGACTGGTCTACATTGTGAGTTCCTGGACAGCTAGGGCAACCCAGACAAACCCTATCTGGAAAAACCAGAAGGAAAAAAAAAAAAAAAGGATCAAGCCTAGAAGCCAGCTTCTTGGCTCACGCCAGGATTTGGGAGGCAAGGGCAGGCAGATTTCTGAGTTCCAGGCCAGCCTGGTCTACTTTTGAGACCAAGCTTTAAAAGACAAAAATAAAACGAACAAGGCTTATCTAAATTTATGAGTGATTGGTTTCTAGATGATTATAAAAGCCTGTTAGGAAGCTTCTCCTTAAACCTGAAGGTCAGAGCCCTGAAAAAAGACTAAGTATGTCCCTTTGCCATAGACAAAATACTAGAAAACACCTGCCTCCTGCTTGTTACACAATGACAACTAATATAGTCACTACAAAACACGCCTGAAACTACATGTAGATGCAGAATGTTATAGAGTCCTGTGCCATTTCTCCCCACGACAGGCCCATCACTATTCGATCTCTCAGGAGTCCACAGTGCTTCCCGGGCATAGTAGCCAAGTGACCATTCCCAGCAAAATGCTGTCCTTTTATATTACTCAAGATAAAAAAGAACAGTAGAAGTGATGAACCTAAGGTTGCTGGTCCAGGGTGATCCAGGGTATGCAAGCTAGTGTGGGAATCCAAATCCAGAGGCTGGGGAGACAGCTCCATTATTAAGGGAGCTTGCCCCTCTTCCACAGGACCTGCGTTTCATTCCCAGCATCTGCTGCTCACAACTGTCTATAACTCCAGTTCCAGGGCTTCCTATACCCCCAACTCAGCAGGCAGGCACACATGCAAAAAAAAAAAAAAAAAAAAAAAAAATCTTGAAAAATGTCCCACAATTATTTAAAAAACAATCTAAACCCAACCTAGAGTTAAACACTTTTAACACATGTGATCTAGAACAATAAGAGTCTTCCCCTTCCTTGTGTTCATCAACAAATATGCTTTTACCTTTTTTTACTATAAAGGTAAAATACATAAAGGTAGAATTTAAATGCATCGTTGAGAGGATGACCAACCAGAGGGGAAAACAGGTAAATGGGGAAAGATAGGGGGCAAAAAAAAGAACAAAATATAGTGATATGAAACTGTCACAGTTAAACCCACTTTTTATATGCTAACCATATATATGTATATATGTATATATGTGATATATATCACACATAACCCTTCTCGGGACAGAAGGGCATTCTTTGAAGAGACTCTTTATGCCTCTCTGTATCCTCTCAAAAAGTTCCTTCAACCGAACTACCTGAAATTTGCTTTGTTCATTCACTATCTTGCCCACTTTCTAAACCATCCATCATAATTAAAAATCTTATTTTTAAAATTCATGGTTCAGTATCTCATTGGGTAATTCCTAAAATGAGCCTTCTGTTCCTTTAACAACATAGTTATAAAGAATTAGTTTTTTGCTGGGTGGGGTGTGAATACCAGTGGCAGGTAGACCAGCATGGTCTACATAGCTGAGTTCAAGGACAGCCAGGGTTATGTGGAGACACTGCCTCAACAAATAAACAAACGGGAGTCCTGGGTGTGTCATCACACCCAGTCCTGGATTCACATCGTCTAAAACAGAATACTTAACCTGAATCTGATCACTAGGACTCAGAGAATAAAGCCCTGAATGTTCTCCTCTGACTTGCTCATAAGATCACACTGAACACATATGGATGTTTGCCTATAATGTATGTGCATGTATGCAGAGCCTGTGGAGGCCAGAAGAGAGGTGCTAGGAATCAAAGCCTGAGCCTCTGAAAGAGCAGTCAGTGCTCTTAGCTACTGAACTTCTCTCCTAAATAAGTAAATTCAAAATAAAAAATGCAGACTTTAGACAGACAAGATGGCATACTCTTGTATTTGCCTCTGGGTTTGATCTCCAGTACTGCATAAACCCAGCATGGTGAGAGAAATATTAAGTTCAAAGCGAACTGCAGCTACATAGGGGGTCTGAAGCCAGTCTCGGCTAGTAACTGTCTAAAAAATAAACAAGCAAACAAAACCCAACTTAAAACCAATAATGAAAATGTTTACAAGTATTCACAAAGGCTCAGATTTGCCCTATGAACTTTCCGCCAAAATTCAACTCTGAACCCAGTGTGCTACTATTTTTGGCTGCTGGTAAGATAGTGTGAAAGAACTACTCAAATTCTTGGTTCCTGAAAACTGGCAGCAAGATTTGGGGTTTGATTATCAAAAGAACATTTGCCAGAGGAAGCACTGAGTAGTGATTTATGTCATAGTTCGGTGTTCTGGAAATTTCCTCACCCCAGCCGATCTCCTATATTCACTAAGTCAAACAATAAGAGCCACACTCTCTCTATATACCATCTGTAGTCTGTGGTTCTTAACCAGTCCTGGGAGGTCTAGGTTAGGTAGGAAATAAAAAAATGTTAATCAGAAGCCAAACATCATTAGCTTTTTGGTGCCTCACAAGAGGGTGAATGGAACATTTTCACAGCAGATTAAAATTTGAGAACTCTATAGGTACAGGTAGGCTAAGTTCTGAGAGCAGAGAGGCAAGAACAAGATCCCTCAACAAAACTGGCTTCTACAATAGACAGGAGGCAGGCAGCTACTGAGCCCAGCAGGCTCTTTCCAGCAATCTACCCAGCTAGGTCATTCAAATATGTTGTCTCTATCGACAGAGAGACTTCTATATTCAGGATAAGCCATGATCAAATGGAGCAGCTGCCTCAGTCCAGGAGCCCACACCGGAGGACAGAGGTTCAGGCCCACACAAACAGGAACAGCTTTCCCCACCCCCTTTTCTTAGTGCTGGCATAAAGTAAACACACTGGAGTTAGTGAGTGCAAATATTCTTGTTCACATAAAAGGGTAAACTGATTAAAAAATGATCACACTGAAGTGTTTACAAAGCCCATGAGTAACTTCCACTTCACTCAAGTTCAACCTTTAACTCTGGTATCTAGTATTACGACATCACACGTTAAGACTAAATTTCAAAACAAAACAAGTCACAAGCTCCTGTAACAAAAGCAAGCTCAATTTCTCCCACCATCTGATTATGAGATAGAAGCTTAGATTTCCCTTCCGAAAAAGGGAACCTGTGTGCCCCGACGCCCACTCTGCCCACCTGTAAAACCAAAGGAAGACATGAGAGACCAGAGTGTTTAGAGGTGATACCCATTTCTTAGCTATTACATACTCTGCAAAATGGGCATAGCTGGTATCCGTCCTCAGACCTCAGGGAGGGAAACTAGAGATAAATTCAAAAGAGCAGGGACTTCCCACTAAGTATTGGGACTGTACCGGCTATTATGATTATCAGTACTACATACAGCCCCTAAGAAGGACCCTGCTGAGGCCCTAGGCGAGGGCATCGCTGATCCTTTGACAGATGAGAGGCGCGGGTATCTAAAGCCTGGAGCCCAAAAACCAGATATAAGAGTACGAAAAGGTGAAGAACCGCGGGCGCAAGATATCTGGGGCAGAAACTAGAAGCGGAAGGGGCCAGTGAATAAGGGTCTCGAAAGGATCCCACACTCACCCAGAGTGAATTCCCATTGCTCGTTCCCCAGAGAGCGTTCAGGCACCACCTCCAGGTCCAGCATTGGTTCGGTTCGCTGGGCCGGGCGGCCTCCCTGCGGCAGCGCAGACAGGACCCGGCCTGAAGAGACCACGCAGCTGCTGACTCGCCGCTCTCGCCAGCCCGCGGACGTTCGGCTCCTCTACTCCGTTCAGGGCGGCGACGGCAGCACGAACACAACAACACAACACAGTTCACCGCCCTTTACCTCCCGGGCAGCAGCCGGAGAGGCTGGAGCAGCAACAGCAGCAGCCGGAGCAACTGCAGCAAAAGCGGCGTGCCGGGCCGTAAAGCGTGGCAAAGGCGGAGCTCAAATGTAGGGGGCGGAGCTTGAGGCGGAGTGGCGCACGCGCAAACCTGGATCGGAAGCCTGACCAGCGAGGTGGAGGCCGAGTGATGTTGGAGGCGAGGCTGCTCTAGAACCACATTCCCGAGGCCCTACAACCTGCACAACACCCTATCCATACAGCCCTACACAAGGAAAGGAACAAGGCGCACAGCACACCACACAAAAATAAAGTTGTCAGCCTTCCACCTGTTCCACTAATGTGCACAGGACCAAAAGGACCTAGTCCCAGAGACTGACGGCCTGCGGCCAACCGCCTAGTATCACCTTGTCACCTTACTGACGCCGGCTGCCATTGCCTTTAGTTGTGCAGAAATGTACGTTTTGGACCCAGTTGTCTCTGAACAGGGTCCGCTTCAGAGTTGATGATGTGCATGTGTGCATAAGGTCTACGGCGAGAGGATTGAGTAGAAAGGCAAAGGGTTCCGGGGGCCAGGTCTCATATCCAGAAAGCTCAACCTAGGGAACGCATTCTAAGGGCAGAGGCTGCCTCCAGCACCTTCTGCCCGGAGTCAGCTTTGCTGGTTGATAATGCGTTAAGGTCTTGACTAAAACCTTAGGAATTCTGTGTCTTAGTTTTCCATGAGTGCCCAAAGTTCCATGATCCTAGGAGAACCAACCTACTAACTATTGTTTCCTCCTCTTTGATCGTGAGGCCAAGACTTTTTTTGTTTTTTCGAGTCAGGGTTTCTCTGTGTAGCAGCCCTGAACTCACTCGGTAGATGAGACTGGCCTGGAATTGAGAGATCCACTTGCCTCTGCCTCAGGGAGTGCGGGAATGCTGGGATTAAAGGTGTGGGCCAGCACGGCCCAGCCTATTATTTTTCCCTAAGGATAGTATTTAGCAGGAAAGTGACAGACTAAATACTCAAACTGGCTAAAAAGGAGAGTAACTGTGGAGGCTTCATTAAAATTTGGAGTCATCACTATGGGTATTAAACAAAACAAAACAAAAATGGTGGGATGTCTTTGATAAGCATCACTACATGCCAAAACAACTGGGTCACATTGATGTGTGTGGTTAGTTATGTTTAAAGGCTGGGTGTGTTGACTTGTGCCTGAAATTCCAGCAGTTGGGAGCCTGAGGCAGTACGGTTCAAGTTCAAGGTCATGCTGGGCTACAAAAATTCAAAGTCAGCTAAAGACACAGGAGACCTTCCCCCACCAACTTTCTAAATTGAACTCTAATCCAAACCAGAGTAGGAAAGATTTCGATAGCTAACAGACAACAAAACCACTTGGCTTTATTTATGGGGATGAGGAAGGGTGTAGGGCCTGAACTGGAAAGCAGTAGGCTGGCTGGTGTCTTAGGAGAAGACAATGACAAAAGCCCCAGGCTTCTAAATACAAAGTGAAACGATTTTCAAAGTTTGGATAAGCCACAAAACCAGGAAGAATACTGAAGCAACTCCCAGGAAACTCCCAATTGGGGTAATGCGTGGTGATTCCTGTGAACAAAGGATGTTATCTTTGCTTCGTTAAATGTGGCCCACTCAAGTTTCGTCTTAAATAAATGAAGCTTTGAATAGCAGGAAAGCTCTCGGCAGAAGCTCGGCAGAAGCTACCAAGTTCCCGGCTAGCCTGATCTACATAGTGAGGTCCAGGAAATCCAAAGTGAGTTCCAGGAAATCCAGGGCTACATTGAGACCTTGTCTCAAAACAAAAACAAAGCCCTAAAACAAACCAACCCAACAAACAAAATGTCCAAGGTACATCAGAGAACACCAGAGAATGCCTTCAAATGGCAATTTTCCTAAAACAAGAGCTGTTCAAAAATACTAAAGTAACTAATGCAGTGTGTGTTCAAGACAATCCTGGTATCCTTTATCCCTTTTCTTTCTTCCTTTCTTCCTTCCTTCCTTTCTTTCCTTCTTTCTTTCTTTCTTTCTTTCTTTCTTTCTTTCTTTCTTTCTTTCTTTCTTTCTCTCTCTCTCTTCCTTTCTTTCTTTTTTGAAACAGCGTTGCTCTGTGTAGCCTTGGCTGTTCTAGACTCTCTTTGTAGACCAGGCTAGCCTCAAATTCAGAGATCCACCTGCCTTTGCCTCCTGAGTGCTGGGATTAAGGGCGTTCATAACCATATCCAGCCTGACAATCCTGGTACCCTACAAATTAGATTTAGAGGGCAGCCTCAGGGAACAGCAGCTAATAAAGCTCATGGACTGATAAATCCCAGTTCTACCACTTACCATAGCTTTCTATCTTGGGCAAATTGCTTCATTTCTCCAAGCCTGTTTTCTGTCTGTAAAACAACCTACCAACATCACAGACCTGTTAGTGGGTCTACACTTTTGTGTCTAGCTTATATGAAAAGACTTTTGAATGTAATTTAAAAATTACATGATGGACTTGGCAAGAGTGACAGATTGCATACAGGAGAGGAAGAAGGGCAGTCAACTCTGGGCTGGAGAGATGACCCATGTTGGTGTTCCAGACTATGCCAGGAACCTCATGATCATTTGTTAACTCCAGTTCCAGGGGATGTGATGTCCTCTCTGGCCTTCTCTGGCACAGGGGACATAAACTTAGACACACACCCACTCACTCACATAAAATAAATCTTAGCTCAGGTGGATAGCTCAATAGTCATTTAGGAAAGGGGCTGGAGAAACTGTCATTGCATGACCTTCTTTCTGGTAATCAATCATGTGATAACTTAGAGAGATATCAATGGAATTCAAAGATAAAGGAGTCTCTTCAAAAGGTCTTTTCAATACTATTCCAGTTACGAACCAAGAACAGGTACTTCCTTTTTTCTTAGAGAGAGTTTCTCTGTGTAGACCGGGCTGGCCTCAAACTCAGAGATCTGCCTCCTGAGTGCTGGGACTAAAGGTATGAGTCACAACCACCTGACCCTTTTTTCTTTTTCTTGTGGTGCTGGGGATCCACTCAGAGTTTTGTGCCTGCTAGACAAGTGCTACAATACAATTATATGCCCAGCCCAAAGTATTCAATAACTGAGAGGGGGAAGTGGTAGTTATTAGAGCTATACACAAACATCCTGGTTCTTCTAGGCAAAACAGGACTGCAATCCCTGCACTTAAAAAGGGTATCAGTCAGGCGTGGTTTTTCACGCTTGTAATTCTAGCACTCAAGGAGACAAAGGCAGGCTGACTTAGTGAGTTCAAGGCCAGCCTGGACTACAGAGTGAGGCCAGGACAGTCAAGGCTACACAGAAAAACCCTATCTGGAAAAACCAACCAACCAACCAACCAACCAACCAACCAACCAACCAACCAACCAACCAACCAAGTTGAGTGTTGCAGCTGTGACAAGAGCTGTAAATCAATTGTGGTAACTCCATTTTGGTACCTCAGATGAATTTTGTCTTGCTGAGTAACGCGCCAGTAATTGTAAGGGGAAACTTTAAGAAAACAATTCTGGGAAGAAAAACGACTCAGTGATGGAGGCTCTTTGAAAGGTTGCCTGACTTTGCTATTTTTGCTAATCGAATATTTTGGCTTTTGTGACCACCTGCTTAGGTTGCAGTTGTGGGAAGGGAACCTTGGGGCTTTCTTTCCAGCTTCTGTAACTATCAGCTTGCAGTTATGGGAAAGGAACCTTGGGGGACTTTATAGCCAGAATATGGTTTGCCTGCTTAAATATGGACCCTCAAGAAAGGCTTGGGGCTACGCTTGGGCTCCAAATATACAGGTGTAATCACCAGCCGGCTGAAATAAAGACTTTCCGTTGGCTCGTCTACTGTGTCTGAGTGGTTTTCTCTGGGGGGATCCCCGTAACGCTGTGACTAGTTGCTCCAATAAAAACAGAAGACACATGTCAGCTCCACGTATTTATAAACCCTCTGTAGGATGCCATTTCCTTTCTCATCTGTTTCAATGCTAGCAATGTTCAGCTCTGCCCTATAAGGCTAGGCATACCATTTGATATTTAGCTCAAAAATGTCAAGCTTTTGGCTTTTTAAAAACTAGATCTTACTCGTTGAGATCTGCCTGCCTCTGCCTCCCAAGTGCTAGGTTTAAAGGTGTGTGCCACTATGACCCTTCACATGGACCATTTTTAACAGGTAAGACAGGTATAAATTTTAAAAATTATAGTTCCTGTACTTACCCCTTATTAATAATGAAGTGATAGGACTAGGCCTGATCACCCCACCCCACCCCAGCCATCAGTCCCAGGAACTAGGCCATAGGTCACCAATTCCAGGAACAAGACCATAATATTCACTACTCAAGGAATAGCCTGGAGGTAACCACAAGAAAGGGAAGGTCTTATCTCAGGGTGGGGCATCTGTGCTGGGCAGCCCACCAACCTGGTACAACATTCAGGGCATAGAAAATACCTAACATACCTGAGGTCTATATATATAGCTTGCTCAATGTCAGTTATATTAGTTAGCCAATCATTTTGTAACAAGCTTGCCCTTGCCAAATGTCACCCAATTGTGTAACTGCTAAGCTGGAAATTCCCAGTCCTTGCTCAAACCCCAATAAAAACCCTACTGTGCAGCTGCTTGGGGCTCTCTCTGATCCACTGCATTGGTGATGGTGGAGACTGAGCTTAGGCCTGAACAAAGCTCTTTGCTCTTGCATATGTGGCCCAGCTCCTGGTGGTCTTTGGGGACCTTATGATCTGCACATAACAGAAGCTCATGATAAATCCCTGTTCTCCCACTAACCATAGCCTTGAATCTTAGGCAAATCACTTCATTTCTCCAAGCCTGTTTTCTGTTTGTAAAAGGACCATACCCACCTCACACATCTGTTAATGGATCTGCACTTTTGCCTGAATACCCACCAGGCTACTGTATCTAAAAGTTACCCTATGGTTAAAGAGAACACATTTCTGTTTCTGGCCTTGATCTTTTCAACCAACTAATGTTCTTAAGCATTCATCGCATAAACCTCCCAATTTCTTGGTTACTTCCTGTCCTTTCCTAAGCAGAAGGCCCAAATGTCTTCCACATGGTTGACAAAACCAGTCCAGCACTGTCTCACACCAAGGACCCCCAGCCCCTTTCAAACCCATGTTGTGGCCCTTATCTGATATTTTTAAACTTCCTATGTAATGGTTGCTACTGCTTTGGATCAATTTTGGGGAATAGACTAGGTTCCTTGAGGGCAAAGATAATGTCTATTTAGGGCACTCACTTTATATTATTTCCTCTAAATTATTATAAATTATATATATATAGATATATATATTTTTTGAGACAGTGTTTCTCTGTGTAGCCCTGGCTGTCCTGGACTGGCTTTGTAGATCAAGCTGGCCTCAAACTCAAGAGTGCACCACTAGCCTGGCTAATATACTTTATTAAAATCTTACGTGTATATGTACCTTGCTTGCATGTATGTATGTATGTGCACTATATGCATGTGTGGTGCCCATGCAGTTCAGAAAAGTGTTGCATTCCCTGCAACTGGAATTAGGGATTGTTATTGAGACACTACACAGATGCTGGGAACCAAACCTTGGGCCCGTGCAAGAGCAGGAAGTGCTTCTAACTGCTGAACTATTATCTTTCCAGCCTGATATACTTAAAAAAAAAAAAATTAGTGTAGCCTCTATTTATAAAATTGATATTGATGGCTGGAATATAATTTAGAAAGTGTTAGGTTCAAAGGGTTCCTCTCAAAATGGCAGTGCTCTTGGCATTGTCCCAAACAGGGCTGTTACTGGGTAAACAAAACCGAAACTCGGGTTTCTGTTTACCAGGAGCCTCCTTTAGGCCACCAGGAACCTCTCTTAATCCTGTCCCAAAAGTCAACTAGCTCAGGCAAGGGCATCTAGTTTCTGGTCAATCAGTTCCTGGTCTGTGCCTATAGCTCAAAGATCCTACCCTGTTGACATAAAAACTGCTTGCTTTCCCATTTTGCTCTATCCCATCTATCCCTACCCGGAGAAATAGTCCTTGCTTTGATCCCCCAACATGTGCCCCCCAATAAACCTTTCTTCCTACCCATGGACTGGTACAGTTCAGTAGTGTCATTGCACCTTATTGTAGCTAGCAGTTAAAAATGTTTCATATTTCCTTTTTTTTTTTTTTTCAATAGGGTCTCGTTATGCAGTCTAGGATGGCCTTGAATACATAATTCTGCTTCAGTCTTCCTGATGCTGGTTCAAAATTCTTTAATGGTGTCAACTTGGTATTTTGAATTACTTTTGTCATTTGTATGAAATGTGGTAGTGAACAAGCAAATTTGTAAATCTGTTAATTATAAACCAAACTTATGGAATGCTTCTAAAATAAAAGTAACTTATTTCTTAAGTAATTTTCTGATGTAGATAAATGCAAGAACCTGTTCCAGGTTTAATACCCACATAATAATGTGTATTATTTCTATTACTAGTCTGAAAGCTGGTACTAATTTAAGTATATGTTTAATTAATTTTTGCCCAGAGGCCACTGTTTTACGGCCATACCTCGGAACATGGATAAACCCAAGAGACTGTTAATAGTGAGGTCGGGGGGGAAAGGAACTGTCAAGATCTGTCTCTATATTATAAATCCATGGTGATCCTCCTGTCTCAGCCTTCCAAAAACTGGGCTACAGATGTGACCCTAGTTTTGTTTGTCTTAAATTTTTTTATGTAAAGGTTATTGTGTAATTCAAATGCTGATTTCTGTACCCCCACCAACCCCGTATCTGTTTGCAATCCTTGTTCTGAGAATCTATCTGAATGTTGTGTAAAGACTGCTCCCAAAGTGTCTCCTAGTATGCCAATAAAGCAGCTTACAGCCAATTGCTGAGCATGGGAGAGAATAGGGCTGGACTTCCTGCCAGCCAGGGGAGGAGTTAGAAGAGGAAGTAGAGGATTCAGCTATAGGCAGAGGTCTAAGAAACATTATGATAAAAAGCTGGAGCAGGAAAGCTACAAAGTGCAAGTCTCCCTAGGAAGCACACTGGGAGGAAGCCAAATTAGTTTGGAGGGTTAAGAGGAGTTATATTGCCCAGGACTGTACTGTGTAGCTTGTTAAAATAATGCAATAGAGCCTCAATTACTTGTGAGATAGCGGGTTGAGAAACTGAGAAAGTCTTATAAAAATAACATTAACAGCTTTCTATGTATGGATGTTGTCTACATGTATTTCTGTGTGGAACATTCATGCCTAAACCTGAGGCCACATGAGGATGAACCTGGAGTTACAGAGAATTGCCATGTACATACTGGGAATTCAACCTGGGTGTAAGAGTAGCTAGCCAGTACCCTTAACCACTGAGCCACCTCTCCCAGGTCCCTACCCACAACCTGTATTTTAAGAACCTTTAAAAGTTAGCCAGGCATGGTGACACATTCCTTTATTTCCAGTACTTGGGAGGCAGAGGCAAGTGGATCTCTGTGAGTTTGAGGCCAGCCTGGTCTACAAAGTGAGTTCCAGGACAGCCAAAGCTACACAAAGAAAGGAAAAACCAAAATCCAGCAGAAAACAAAAGGGGCACTGGATTCCCAGGTACTGAGACAATTGTCAGCTGACTACCCTGATGCTGGGAATCAAGCTCCTGTTCCCTACTAAAGCTGAAATAACCTTTAGCAATAGAAAGCTCACTCTTAACCTCAGTGTCATCTCTCTGGCCCATTTTGGTTACTGAGACCATACAGTCCAGGCTGGCCTAGAACTCTGCAATAGTCAAGAATGATCTTGAGGGCTGGAGAGGTTAAGAGCACTGGCTGCTCTTCCAAAGGTCCTGAGTTCAATTCGCAGCAACTACATAGTGGCTCACAACCATCTATAATAAGGTTTGGTGCCCTCTTCTGACATGCAGGTGTTACATGTAGGCAAAACATTGTTTACATAAAAAAAAAAAAAAAAAAAAAAAAAGAATGATCTTGAATTCCGGATCCTCCTGTTCCCACTTCCCATGTGCACACTCAGCTTCAATGAGACTTTTTGAAAACCTCATCATATACTGTGAAATTATTGTAGATTGTGATTTAAAGGGCCTCGTTGAAATTAGAAGATGTGACCAGTAGATGGCACTGTTGTCCAAAAAAAATGTAAAAAGGATCAAAGAATCGAATAGAAATGATCACATATCAATAAAGAGCCAAGACTTTGTTTTCACTACACAGAATTTTAATGTGAAACTAAAGTAAACATACAAATGTACAGTAAAGCTAATGGCAAAGCAATCTGGTAGCTTAAGGCAAGTTTTAATGGAGATGAATTTAGAAAAAATGATGCAATGATGTAACTTTAAATATAGATTATGAAAAAATATGAAACTGCATCAATAACTTAAAGTAGTTTTCAAAACCTGCACTACTGGAGAAAAGGGGTTTATGATCTTAACGCCAGCATTAAGACAGACTGAAGCAGTGCGGAGCTAGTAGGAAACACTATTTACAGAAGGGTGGCAACAACATTAATGCCATGTGATCTTATTTACTGCTGGACTGAAAGTTCTTGGCTAGAAGCAACAGAGAAAATGTACCATCAACATGTTGTTTTAAAAAATACAGGATCACTTTAAGAAGGTAATTCCCCCAGAGGAATTAGGGCACTGAGAGTGTAAACATGTGAGCTATACAACATCAAATACCAACCAAATTCATTCATAGTACTTAGTCATACAAGGTCAGCATGATCTTTTGTAACACACTATTGTTTATAATAATTCAAACACAATCCTTACCATGCATGACGTCAAATATATAACAAATATTTTTTATTTTGAAATACAGGGTATTTGTTTATGAATTTTAAGACCTATATACAATGAAAGACACATCTCCACAATCAAGTATCTTTATATGCTTTTTAAATGCAATGACCTTATTCAGACTTTTCTGAATTGACCACGTCAGTTTTTAAAATTCTCTAAAATAATGCCATTTTATGATAAAATACATTTTTGCAAAAATTCAGAAATGTAGTAACATTTAATGAATAAGACCACGAAAAGTATCTGTAAGCATGTGCCAACTGAATTAGCACTTTTTTCCAGTTTTATATTTAAAAAAATTGCAATTTGACACTAAGCCTATTTAAAAAATATTGTTACACTGACTCATCTCAAAAGGCGCTATTTAGTCCTTTTGCAAAATACCATCATAAATAACTGTCAATGTTTTGCCCAGAATTAATGGAAGAAAATGTATCTTCTGCACAGATGACCATTTTCTAAGACTAATCTTCATCACCCAATTAATTTTGTTTCTACAAAAGCATGCAATACAAAATACACATGAAAGCAGCTATCTTAAACATGATTTTCATACCATTTACCTCTGTAGCTGATTCATTACTGCCTCCAGTTTAATATGCTGTTACATACAAGAAGTTCCAGTATCCCTTTTCTGACTGATTTAAAAAGAAAAAAAAAAAAAAAATCCCTGAATGAAACAGAAGCCAGCATGTGACTTCTTTGGGCATATCTGTAGAACATTATTACCTATGGAGGATATCTCTACCCAAATCATGATTATAGACTACAACTTGAAACGGATCTGAGACAAATAAAAATTAATACTAATTTAAAATTTTATGTTTAAAAGGGACAGAAAAGATAATTATTAGCATTTAAAAGGATACTGTAGCTTTAACAACTGTAAACTTTTGTTTTAGGAGGCTATGGCAGACAGCTCTATGCTAGGTTTTTAGCTTGTAAAAAACAAAACAAAACATAAGCACACCTTCATTTGTAAAATGGTGTAGAATACAAAAACAACATGACATAGAGAAAACAAAACCAAAATGCTCATCTAAGAAGGAAAGCTGTATAGCCAACTTGTCTGAAAGTACAAAAGAATTTAAGCAACTGGCTGAAGAAAACCCTGATACAAATTTTAATTTCTTATCTTGTTTTCAAATGACATGAACTTCTAAATTAAGTAGGAGAAAGTAGATACTTTCAACCTAACTAAAATAATGCCAACAAGATAAGCTTGCATAGAAAAAAAAAATTCAGATTATTACTGGCTACATGTTTTAAAAATCAGAAATGCAGGTATTATAGTGCAAACCATGGCGGCTGATGATGTCTCACGCTGTCTCAGGTCAAGATAGATGCTGTAGTACCTCTAGTTATCACAGTTTCTGGTCGCACAGTGAGTTATTTGTGCCAACTAGAAGCAGTGTGTATGTAGAGATGGCAGCACGTATGCTGTGCTCAGGTTAACGAAGCTTGAGATCATCACTACCACCTAAATTGGAACCAGGACTAGGGTCTTGCTGTCTTCTTGCCTGCAATGACAAAATTGTTGTATGAAGTCATGAATGTGGTTTGAAACTTAAATGACAGATATACAAAATGTTATGACACAGCATCATATAAAAAATGTTCATAGACAAAAACTTTTCAACCAATATTTTCATGGCAAGACAATCAGAACTATATTATGATACTTTATAATACTCAATAACCATTTTGTATTCAAAAGGATATTACTAACATATACTACATACAAAAGAAAAAATTGTGGTTTTATTTTTAAGACTAGAGGTTTAACTTTACCACACTAATATGGTCAACCATCTTAGAAGCAAACTTTTACTTTTAGTAATAGCTCACATTTAACTAAGTAACAATTATATGCTAGGCATTCTTAAATTCTCCATCGATGAACTAAGTAGGTCCCAACAACTTACATAAGTACTATTATTTTCCCTCATTTCATAAAGAATTGAATGGCTGCGTGTGGTGGCGCATACCTTTAATCTCAGAACTCCGAAGAGGCAGTGTATCTTTGTGAGTTCAAGGCCAGCCTGATCTACAAAGAGAGTTTTTGAATATAGCCAGAGCTGCTTGCACAGGGAAACAACAACAACAAAAAACTGAGTCACAGAACCATTAATACATGTATTATTTACTAACTAAAAATAAAATAAACTTAATTTCTGCCAAATGAATTTTAACTAGAAACCTCAAAAAATAAAATTCAAAACTGGGCAGTGGTGGCATATGCCTATAATCCCAATACCTGGGAGGCAGAGGAAGAAGGATCTGGAGTTCTAGGTCAGCCTGGTCTACAGAGCGTGACCCAGGGCAGCCAAGAATACAAAAACAAAACAAAACAAAACAAACAAACAACAAACCCTGTCTCAAACACCAAAACCAACCAACCAACCAAAACCCCAAAACAAATGAAATAAAAAATATTTAGTTTTATAAACAGAAACAGTACAGTTAAGTATCTTTTTGAGAGTATTTAACAATTATGAAACAATAATTATAGGCGCTGAGTATTTCAAGGTCCACTGAGAATGAACACCCTATTTAAATTACCTATTCGAATTATTTAATAGGAAACATCAAGTAAAATATCATGTATGACACTCTCTGGCAATACAAAATATGTATAATATAGTGCCCTTTTAGTTCATGTACAATTTCATTGTGTGTGTGTGTGTGTGTGTGTGTGTGTGTGTGTGTGTGTGTGTGTGCGCGCTGTGCATGCAGGAGCACATGGAAGCCAGAAGAGGGAGTCAGATCCCCTGAAGACAGTTACATACAGCTGCCTGACATGGGTGCTAGGACCTAGACACAACCATCTGGAAGAGCAATAAGCACTGAACACTAAACTCAGATAGTCAGACTTGGCAGAATAGGCCTTATTCACTGACATGTCTCACTAGCCCCCGCATGCAATGTTTTATTTAATTTCTTGAACAAGTTCTAATATATTTTAAAGTTTTTTCAGTCCTTCCAAATGTTGGCTAAGTACAAACATCTATTTGTATTCAGAACCTGGTTCCTCCAACACAAGTTATCCATTGTTAGATAATGGCAACTCCACTTTGCCAGTTGTGTAGGCAGAAAGCCTTGTTACCTTTAACATGTTCTTTTCCCATATCCAACAGACATCTTTAAAGATAGCCTTAATCTGACTGATTCTACTTCACTTCCTCTATCATTATTCTCTCTAGACCAAGCCACAACCATGCTTCACTTCCATGTTCTTTTTAGCTGATGGACTATATGTCAGCAGTTGGGACTAACTTCAGTTACCTCTGTGATTTATTTAACTTTACTTCCAGAACTGTGTATTAAAGCATCAACTAATTTTTCTATAAGCTATGTCATTTTAAAAAACAAATTCAACAACAACAAAAAAATACATTGTGAATTTAACTGGAGATCTTACTTAGGTTCAGCATGATGACACAGAGAATTAGAACCTTACACCTACAAGGATGAAGCAGGAAGACACCTGAGCAAATGAGATCTTTTTTGTTTTGATTTGTTTTTTTCCAGATAGGGTTTTCCTATGCAGCACTGGCTATCCTGGGCACGCTTTGTAGACCAAGCTGGCCTCCAACTCACAAGAGATCCGCCTGCCTCTGCCTCTCTGAGTGCTGTGATTACAGGCATGTGTTACCACGGCCAGCATGTACATGAGACCCTATTTCAAAAACAGTTATTAGAGAAAGAACATTCACGACTTTGTTTTCTAAACAAAGTCCTAAGTCTTTATATTTTAAGGCCAATTTTTATTTTGTCAGTGCTAGGCACCTAAGCCAGGGCCCTGTGCACACTGAGAATGCGTTCTACAAAGAGGCACAGCCAGCACTAAGGCTTGGTTTACAGCCCAGCCTAAGGTTGGGTTTGTTTAGACAGTCCAGAGTTATATCATCAATTAAGAACATTATGTTATTTGTACAACTGCCTGGTAGAATGGCACTCTAGAAGCAAAGGCAGGCAGATGTTAATAGTCTGAGGCCAGTCTGACTATACTGCAAGGTCCAGGCCAGTCAGAAGACTCTGTGCTTAAAAAAAAAAGACAAAACAAAACAAAACAACCCAAAAGCAAATAACCACAACAAAATGACAGCTTGCCTTATTTAATTCTAAACAAAATAAAAGTTAATAGTAAATTCTTCTCTAGCAAAGGGATTTAAGCCATTTTTGTCAGGAGACATCTCACAGCTTATTTTAACACACCCTTTTCAGTCAGAATACTCATGGTCATAGTATGGTGTACAGCCTGCTGAAATAAAAAGCTACAGATGACCATATACCAGAAAACCTATTTATACTTTACACAATCAATGCTAAGAGTACTGTGAAGACCAGTCAATTCTATAGAATCAGAGACTGTGATATATGCATTTGTTTTCAGTCAATAAAGGTTAGAAAGGGGCTGAGCAAATGAGGAAACACTAAGGAAAATCAATCTGAATTATACATTTACAAATCACTAACCTACCAATATAGTATTTTATAAATAGTATAGCCTTTGTCTTTGATAAGTTATTTTTAAATTTTATTAATGATAATATAAAGATTTCAAATGGGTGACAGTCAACTAACAGCTGAAGTTTTTTGTAATGGTCCTGGCTGTGCTGAAACAGCTGAGGGATACTTGTCTAAACCACAGTATGGTTTGATAGAAAGCATGGAATGTAGGAGTAAAGAAAAGTAACTTCACTGTTTGCTTGTGCTGTGAGTTTCTATTTACCTTGTGAGGAGGGACTAAAAGAGACGAGAAGGCCCTACCCAGTGCAGGTTGGATGTTTTAGAGGAGATTCTACAGGTAGTAAGCTATACTAGATAACGGTAAAGAAGTCCTCCCTGAACTCACTCTAAACATCAAAAACATGGTTTGTTGTTTTTAACTAAACTAGACATTTTATTACAGACCACATAGGTCCTGTCTTCTTACTTTTTAGTATATTATTCAGAAATACAGCAAGTCCATTTTCTAGGAGGTCATCATAAGATGAATATAAAAGAGTGACAAAGCAGTCACTAGCCAGGACTTGGAGAAATTAGCCAAGAGAAGGGCTTAAATAAATCAAAGTGTTTGGTTATTGCTATTCTTTTATTAAGCAGAAGAAAACAAATGTGGAAAACTCTTTATGGGAAAAAATGCTTTTAAGTTGCAACTCACTGAATATGTACCATATACAGATATAGCCTTCCCACACTCAGTTTATATTTGATACTCAGCTAAAAGTTGGTATTTAAGAGATCTGCGTTAATTCTCATTACACAGTTAATTCTCATTGCAACATGGAGGGACTAGTAATGCCTCGACACTCACAGGGCATTTGAGTTTCCTACTGCTAAGGCTCAGAGATACAAAGCAAAAATCTTAAGTCCTGAGTTGATACATTTCCCTCCTAACTCATTAAAAAGGTAAAAACTAGGTCAGAGAGTTGGTTCAACCAGGAAACGCACTTGTCAACAAGCCTGAGTACAACCCCTGGGAACCAAGTTGTCCTCTGATTGCCATATTTCACACACCACATACACATGCTCATTTTTTTTTCTTATACAAAAAATTGTGTATTTAGTACAAAGTCAAATGTGCTAAAAATGCAAATATTGAATCTAAGATAAATAGAGGCTGAGTCATTCTTTTTGCTTGGACTATATAAGCTCCAAAACTATTTTGTAACAAGTCAAAAACCACATAAAGCTTTTGTTTGATTTCCAAAATTCTCCTGATTTGCTGAGAACTAAACTTTAAAAGGTAGAAAATTCAGTAATTGTTAATCCATTCTGTATTAAAAATAACTATTTGCTAATCCTTCATAATCTCACCAGATGGAAGTAGTTTCTAGGCAATGCTAGAGAAAAATCTGTTGTAGTGCCTTGTAGCCAAATTGTGTACCAATAGACCTCTATTAGCTTAGGTCAAGAAGACAATCTAACTAAAGACAACAGACAATACATGAACTGCTACCCGACAGACAAGAGGCACTTCCCCAATTCAAAACCAAAACACTTTCCAGGCACTATGAACCCTGGGAAACTGCTACCCCTGTAGCCAGCAGAACCAAGTAAAGTTAATCTATGTTACACTAATGGCATTTTTTTCTATTTCTTAAAAAAAATGTATTTTGACTTATGTTTTGTCTGTGTGTCTATACAAACACATGTATGCAGCTGGAGTAATAGATGGTTGTGACCCCAATGTAGAGTTTAAAAACAAAACTCTAGTCCTCTGCAAGGGCAGTCCACATTCCTAACTGCTGAGCCATCTCTTTAGCCCCCTAAGATGAAATTTTGCTTCTTTCCTAAATAAGGAACAGATGAATGTGATACCAGACTCATAAAGTACTAAGTAAGGATATACAGCCAAAGATAAGCCCTCCATTAAAAAATTTTTTTTTCATTTAAAATTAAATGTACCTGTGTCTTTGTGTACATTAGTGCAGGTATCTAGGAAGATCAGAAACATCAGGGCCCAATGGCTCTGGAGTTAAGAGACAGTTCACATGAGCACCAAACATGGGTG